GACGGAAGGAGAAAAAGTTTTGTTAAAACTTGAAACGGCGGCAAAAAGAAAGCAATTAATGCGCCTAAAATGAAGTATGCGTCAGACGGCGCACGCAGGCGCGAGATGACTTACAAGCGCGTACAGAGTACGATCCAGTAAAGGGAGGACGCGTGGCTGAAACGGGTGAGTTATTTTGCATGACAGCTCATACGCGTGAAGGAGATCTTGGGATCTTTAATCCTTAAAGAAAAATGTCGGCCTATATGATGATCTCGGCTGAGAGACTTTAAACCGATGTATTAGCAGGAAGTTCTGATATAAGTTCCATCACCTCAGAATGTCGAGGTAATAGAACCTAGGGGGCAGTTGTGGAGATATATTTTCTGAGATACTAACATGTGGCCAAGGTGACGCCGACATGTCAGCCAAGGTGATGACGCCGAGGTTATCTCGACAAGGCCGAGGTTATCTCCGAAGATATCGGAATTCGAGATAAGCGGATAAGGCACAAGAGTCCTAGAATGAGGAATGACTTTAGCATGGATAAGGATAACACTCTTAGGGAGTTTATGTTTATCTCTTGGAGAGTCCAGGACAAACACTGAGCAGAAGTCCATTGAAGCTAGGCTTCTAGAGGGACTAGGATTAAGTTAACTATAAAAGAAAGGCACCCCCGATGGGTCTAAGGTACGCAATTTATATTTTGAACAGTGAGTTTAGCACTATTGATTATCTTTGAGAGATATACTGACTTGATCGTCGGAGTGCCCTCGGGTGGACGAACCACCGCCGGAATCTTCTCTTTCTATTGCAGGTCAGACAGGTGCCATCTATTCTGTCAGTGCTCTCCAGCTGAATACTGAGTTGGTAGTGTGATTGAAAATTCACTCACACAGGGGATGGGTACCCACTAATTTCTCCATATGTTTTTTTTTTTTTAAGATTTACAACCAAAACTAAATATACATTCAATCTTTTTTCTTTTATTTATTTATTTAATTTTTCAGGTTCACAACTATTTTTTTTTAGATCCACAACCAAAGCTAAATATACCTCCAATCTTTTTTTTTATTATTTTTTTTTATTTTTAAGGTTCACAACCATTTTTTTTATTATTTTTAAGATTCATAACCAAAGTTAAATATATATTCAATCTTTTTTCTTTTGTTTTTATTTTTATTTTTTAAGGTTCACAACCATTTTTTTTTTAAGATTCACAACCAAAGCTAAATATACATTCAATCTTATTTTATTTTATTTGGCTCAACAATAAAATCAAATACACTTTAATTAACATTGTCACATTATTCTTGTCAAATTTTATGCATATCTAGAATTTTTTTAATTTATTTAAAAAAATTAAGGACACTGTCTAGTGCAAGTTTCGATTTGCTTTTCTATGTTATTTTATTTTGTTATGTATTGTAATTTTCAAAATAGTTTGCTTGTTCTGAAATTTCAATTAACGAGTATGAATCTATTTGTTTTATGTTATCACACAATTTATACAACATATATATATATATATATATATGAATGTATTTGAAAATAGAGAAATTGTAGATAATCGAAACAAGCATGAGTCGTGATTGGTTAGAAAGGATATGTACAAAGATTTATTTGCTGAAAAAACAAAAAGGGGATACAAAGTCTTACTAAATAATTTTTTTTTAAAATAAAAGAATTTTTCTTAGTTATGAACAGATTTAACTAAAATCAGTTTGTTTTATAAAAAAAATTAAAAATATATATTTTTTTATATTTGGTGGTGGAGGTGATGGATCAAAGGTGAAAGTAGAGATTGTGACATAGTGGTGGGGTGGCGGCGGCAGTGATGACGGTAGTGGCTATGGTGATGGTAGTATGATAGTGAAGGTGAGAATAGTGGTGATGGTGTTGTGAAATTAGTAAAAATTTAATTGGAAAAACATTTTTTGTTTTTTAAAAGTAATAAACAACAAAATTCGTGGGGGACTAAAGAAAGAAGATGGATGATGAATTGGGTGTAGTAAGGCATAAATATCTTAAAATGAGTGGTTCAGATTTGTTAAAAGGTATAATTAGATTTTGGATAAATTAAAATGAATAGTTCAAATTTGCTAAGAGAAAGATGGTTTAATGTTTAAAATGTCCGTGACTAAGAGATCAACAAATAATTTCTTATTTATGCCCTGATACAATTTAATATGGGTCTTATAACACTTTCTTCAAACAGGTTCTTTCACATTTTATTTCTTCAAACAAGCTCTTATAGCATTGTAAACAGGTTCTTATAACATGTCGGGGAGAGAATAAGAGTGAGAGTGAGAGAGAGAGATGGTTGTAATTTTTTTTTTTTAATCTTCCACGTTCTTTCACATTTTTTTTTAATTACTAAAACTTATTTGATTGTCTCAAAATTATATATTTGATTATTATAAAACAAACTTTTTAATTAATTAATTAATGTGTATTTGATTTTGTTGTTGAACTAAATAAAATAAAATAACAAAATCAAATAAGATTGAATGTATATTTAGCTTTTGTTGTGAACTTTAAAAAAAATAAAAATAAAAATAAGTTGTTAACATTAAATATATTAAAAAAGAAAGAAAAAAGATTGAAGGTATATTTAGCTTAAAAAAAAAAATTGTTAACATTAAATATATTAAAAAAAAAAAGATTGAAGGTATATTTAGCTTTTGTTGTGAACTTTTTTTAAAAAAAGAAAGTGATTGTTAACATTAAATATAAAAAATAAAAATAAAATAAAAATGGGGATTAAAGTGGATTGGGAAAAATCTAAACCCATTAGGAAATGTGGAGAGTGGTACCCATGGGGAATGGAGAATGGAGAAAATTTATTATAGGGGAATAGGGATGGAGAATTAATATTCACCCCATTAACCCTCATTGCCCTCCCTAGTGCCCCCTCACTCTTTCATTTATTTATTTATTTATTACAATTCTATAAATTTATATAAAAACATCATAAAAATAATATAACAATATTATTTTTGTTAATCAAACTCATCTGCGTAGGTGTATTTTATTTTAAAGTAAAAGATCCACTTTGAGTCATATCATTTTATGTAAAAATTTTGTATTAATTTTTTGTTTGTATTATTACTGTTACTAAAATTAGAGATTTTGGTTTGTAGTCATTTGTGTTAAAATTAAGAAGTTTGATGTGCTAATGAAATTAAAAACTTTCATTTAGGGTGATTTGTGCTAAAATTTTAAAATTCTGACCGGATTTTAGTTTCTTTAATTTAAAAAAATTATGAAGAAATAATTTTATTTTTAGTTATAAATATTGTGAAAAATCAGTAAATGAATAATAGTTTAATTATATACATCGAAAGTGACAATTTTTTGTTGTATTGATAATAGTAATATTATTATGAAAACTTTGAAAGCATAAAAGTTTATATTGAAAAGTTCTGTATAGAGTATTTAAGTTTTTTATACTTAAAATTAGCTCAAAATTTTAATATTATACCTTTTTATTATTGACTACAAAAAAATAAAAAAAATTCAACATTGTAATCAACGGATGCCCCGCCTGAATCAATTTTCTAGTTTCGCCACTTATATATATTCATACAATTTATCAAATACTTTAGTTTTGAAAATATATATAAATAAAATTAAAAATATATAAAATAATAAAGAAAAATCTCAAACGATAGGTGAATTTTTTTTGATATGGGTGCATTCGGTACTGACGATAAAATTGTAAACTAATGCCTCGTTTGACATTTAATTATTGTAGTTTAAAAGTCAAAAAATTATTAAAAAAATTAAAAATTTTATAATCTATTTTAAAAAAATTAAAAATTCTCTTTTCTCTTTAATTTTTACATATCTTTTTGTAAAAAATTAAAAAGTCATGCCAAACATACTAGTTTCTTTTTTTAGTCAAAAAATCAAAAAATTACTAAAAAAAAGCTTGTTAATTGACAAATTTTGTTATAATATGGAATTGGAAGGTGTTGTTTGGGTTTGTGAGGTTCATTACAAGTCTGGTTTTGACAATTTAAATAATTTATTTTGTAGGATCCTTTCTATGGAAGAGGGGATGCTGCTGCGTGGGCTGCGTAGCAACAACTACTGTGCAGTGAAATGAGCCCATTTTGATAATTCAAACCGTTTATATTTTATAATACATCAAGTAAAACATACTTGCAAAAAATCAAGTTAATTGAATATTGTTTACCCATTCATCCACTTACATTTGTATTTATTTTAATACTTTAAATCACAATTATTTTTTATTTTTGTAAATATAAATGTGAGTGTATGAATAAGTAAACGATATCCAATTAATTTAATTTTTTGCAGGCATGTTTTACTTGTTATATTCTAAAATATGAACTGTTCGGATTATCGAAATGAGCTCCAAAATGGACCCATTTCGCTGCATAGCATTTGCTACTACATAGCCCACGCATCAGCATCCCTTGATCCCCTTTCTATATATATCATCCACACAAAAAATTAGATTAATTCGATAATTGTAACATATTCAATTTATTACATTTGTCTTAAAAAATAGATTATCTATGTTTTATTTATTATTTATTTATTGTGACAAAAACCATAAATTAAATAAGTTATGAATATTAGATTGACTTAATTTTTTTTATGAATGATATACATAAAAAATCTTATAAAATAAACGATACAGATTATAAAAACGAGACCCATAAAAACCAATAGGCTCGGGCAATACTCTCCTATCCCGGGCAATACTCTTCTATCCCGATCATATATGGGAGCCTTTTTTTTACATGAAATTTTTATACTCAACCATTGGCGTGGTTATTTTTTGAAAAAATAGTCATCAATTGGGGATAGTTTTTATAAATAAAAACAAAAAAAACGTTGCAAAATTAATCAGTTGAATATAGATAGAAGAAAACAAAATTTGAAAAATTTATTGGAATCTGCAAAAATTGTATGAGTGGGTTAATTTAGAAATGTAAAAAACATGACAAAGTTCACACTGAGTAATAGGCAAATACATAGAAAATTACCTGTCCATTCTGCCCTTGAGCATTTGCAAGAACTGATGATGGTCATCTGCATCTCTGATCATTGTGCTCAACAAGTCTTTCCTATCTTTGAGACCTTCTTGATCTTCTTCTTCTTCTTCTTCTTGGATGGTGTTGTTTCTGTGTATGTCTCTCTGTGCTATTCTGTTATCCCCAGAAGACTCCATTAGAAACAACTCAAACAGTAGCAGAAAAGCTTCAAAAACAAGGAGACATAGAAAAAGGCTTATTTATAATAATAACAATTTGAACACTTCCAAACAACATCGACCCAGATACCAGAAAGGTGTAGGTGTGTATCTGTAATCAACTTTTTAAGAAGGAAGAAGACAGATAATTCAGGTTTTGCCATTTAATGATGATGGTAACACAAAACAAACCGCAGTGATTGACAGCTCTAGGTATAGGGCTTTAAATAGAGCTCTATACATGTGGCATCGGAAATTTTTTTTTTCTTTTTTAAAATAGCACATCAATCAGTGAACTCCATTCATGAGACCTCTTTTAAAGCTCTTATGTTAAAACCTTAGGCTGTGTTTGGTTGTGCTTTTGAAATGTGATTCTACATGTTAGTTTCAATTCCATGTTTGGTAAGAGTTTTGGAATTAATTTTTCAAAACTCTGCCGAAAGCTCTGTCCATTCTGCGCGTTTCTTGTATTTTTTTTGGCCAGGGGAAGACCGCCCGGTCGTCCCTAGGGACTACCACCCGGACATCCTTGGGGACATCCACCCGGATGTCCTCTGCTGCACAGATTTTTTTTTTTTTTTTTGCAATTGATTTATATAATTGGGAAAAATATTTTCTAAAATTTTTTTAATTTTTAATGTGCTTTAAAATAATTTTGAGTTGTATGTTTAGTTAGGAGTTGTAAATTTTTGTATCACATATCAAATATCACATCAACAATTCCCCACTCAAATCAAACCTCTTTTCCAAAACTATTTTCAAAACTCTTTACCAAACAAATTTTCTACACTCAAATCATAATTCTACAACACACAAATTCAAAATACAACTCATACTCTCAAATCACATTTACAAAACACAACCAAACGCAACCTTAAAATCTCTAACATTACTCCTTAGAGCTTCCAAATATTTTTGCAAAATAAAGAGTTTGTTTGGTTTGTATTTGAGAAATATGTTTTGAGATAAAAAGTACGAAAATTTGTTTGGTTTGATTTTTTTTCAAAAGATGTTTTGAAAAATTATTTTGAGAGAGAGTTTTGAGAAAAGTGATTGATTTGATGTGTATGAGAGAGAGATTTGCTTGGAAAACTTGTAAACCAAACAAGTTTTGGAAAAAAATTTTAGAAAAATTTGTTTGATTTGATTACTTTTAAAAACTTATTTGTAAAAAATGTTTCCTAAAATTTTTTTAGAAACACGAACCAAACAAGGCGAAAATCTTCAGTTTGGACTTTGTGTCTAATGTTTAAGCTGTCTTCCTCTTTATATCACGGGTGTGCTGCTCTGGCATGCATTTCAACTCTCAAACTGCCAGCAAATTTTATTTTATTTATTTATTTCTATAGTGTTACTTACAACAAAAACTCTATGGGACCAAAAAACTTCCCCATAAATTTATCAAGAATTGTAGATAAATGGTGTACGTTTGAAATTGTTGTCGTGAGGCACTTGTTGAGTGAATCTTAATTATAAATTTAGAGTTAAATTATAAATATATCTAATGAGATTTGATTAAAATACGAATCATTCCTTATAGTTTTGAAAATTACATTTTACCCCTGAGGTTTCTAATTTCATAATAAATCGCCATTTTATTAATAAATCAGCAAGTCAATTAACAGTTTTTAAAGATGTTAAAAATATGGTTCAATTAATAATTTAGGTAATTTTATTATTGTATAGGAGAGTAATTATGAATTTCATTTTTTTAATTAATTATGTTAAATAAAAAATTCTAATAAGGGAGTATTTATAATTTTTCAAACCACAGAAGACAATCTATATTTTAAGCAAACCTCAGAGGGTGTATTTGTAATTTATCCTAAATTTAAAATTTTCCATATTTTTAGTATTTTTTTTAATAGATTTGTAGTATTATTGTACATATAATTATATTATTTCTTAGTATATTTTCTCACCCCAACACATAAGTTCCACATAAGATTTGCATATATCATTACTCTCTTTTACTTCATTTTTTTTAATAATCAGTAGCCAAGATAATCAGACAATAATCATACTCGTTGGGGATATAGTTGTGCAGATTGTGCAACAGTAACCGTTGCACATTAAGGTATTGTTTGGTAAAATTGAAAATTAAAAATAAAAAATTGAGTACGAAAAATTGAATGTTGAAAATTTTAATTTAAAAAGCTGTTTGGTATGTACTGAAATTTAACTACTGATTTAATTAAACTGTTTGATTTATATAAGTAGTTGAAGTCTAAAAAATAATTAAAATTAAAATTTTATCTTTTTACTTTTTACATTGAAATATTCAATTAAACTATTTTATCCCACTGATATAATTGATACAAAAAATTATTATAATCGCATTATATTTCAAAATTTTGAAAGATTATAATTATCCGCTATCTTAAAATATTAGTCTCTTATTCTATTTTTTATTGTCCCCAAATATTAGTCCATTTTTAAAAATCAAAGACTAAAATAACATAAATTTCCTATTTTCCCCTTATTTTAAATTCATTAACAACAAAAAAGTATAATTATGACAATTGATATTTTCCAAAAAAATACTACCAAAGGGTAGTTCTGAAAAATTTCTATTTTTTAAGTGTAATAATTGTACTATAAAAAAAATTAAATTCCTCAAAAGGAACTAATATTTTGAGACAGAGGGAGTAGAATTTTTCTCTCTTGTATAGGTATTGAATCATTCATGAAATAAAACAATAATTGCAAAGGCAATCTGCTAAAAATTTATTTCATATTTCATCATTTTCCTCATGGACAAATTTCAAATCACCATAGAATTCTTTCACATGTAGGAATCATAAAAATTTATCATAAATTACCTTAGAAAATCGGAGACAAAAAAATTGTTCTTCAAATTCTACTAATCACTAAAAGACCGTCAATGTGCAAATATGAATTATAGTTATAATTCAATGTAAAGAGTGCAATTGCATTGCAATTTGCTCACGTAAGTTCAGCATAAAATTTTGATCAGCTTGTGTAGTCCCCCCTTACTAAGATTTCTAAATTATTTTTGTTTTTGTTGTTGTTGTTGACCATAGGCTTTGTTATTGGGAATTGAAATACTAACAGTGCTTCTCTATCTAAGTAAATTGATTAAATTTTCATAACAAGTTTTTATTTTTATGTTTATTTAAAAAAAATAAAAATTAGTTTAACAAAAATAAACACAAAAAGATAAAACGATATGAAAACAATGAGTATGTTTTTATTTTCTTTATTTAGAGTATTTTTAAAATTTTATTCAAAAACAGATTCAGAAAACTCAATCAAACAATAATTTATTTTTATTTTTTTTGAAAGACCTATTACAGAAAAATAAGATGAAGAACCACAATAAAGACATAATAAAAATTTCCACAAACATATATATATATACAAACATACACAAGTTAGTACATATTAAAAAAAAAATCATAAAAAATGTATTCATATACATATGCAAGTTAAATCCAAATAAAAAAACAATTTTCTAGACTTACCTTGGATTACTTGGAAGAGCAGCCGAAACTGTGAAAGAGAGCTGCCAAAACCGTGAGGAAGGATGTTTGAGAAATAAATTTTCTAAAACTAAAGCACCGCACCTTTTTTTTTTTTTTTTGGCTTCTTTTTTCATTTGGCGCATTAAGTGATAATTAAAATGTAGGTTTTTTTTATTTATTTATTTTTATTTTCAACTAAAAATTTTAGCGTCGTTTTAAGTGGAGCTTAATTTTTTAAGTAATATCATATATGTATAATCAAACTAACTTAATTAAAAAATCACTTAATTTTTTCAATTTTAAAAGCTGAATTGAGTTATCTAACATCCCCTAAAACAACCTCGTTTTTCCATTGCCATTTTGAAAAGCACAAAGTATAAAACAAGCTTTTCGTGTTTAGTGTTCTCTTCGTTTGGAAAGTATTTTTTTTTTAAACTAAAATATAAGATAAAAAAAAATTAAAGTGTTTGAAAATGATTTTTTCACTTCTTATGATAAAAATATGTAAAAAAAAAAAAGAGAATGTAAAAGAATCTTTTGATTTTTTTGTAGGGGAAATAACACATCAGTGGATGTTTAGAAAAAAAATTCACTAATGATAAATTTTACAAAATTTAATGATTAAAGAGTCTATAATTATTTTAAAAATATACTACTGATTTGCAATTTTTCCTTCTTTATATAAACCTTTTAAAATTTTTTTTAATAATTTTTTTTATTTTCTTAACTATCTTAACTAATTATCAAATAGCCCGAGGTTGTAACCTTCGCCTTTATATTGCAGTAGCTACAATGCAACAAGAGATGATGGGACTTTTCAGAGTAATAAGTTCGCTGCTTATTAAACGTGTCTTTCCTATCTCACAAAAAAAAAAAAGAAAAAAAGAAAAAAAAAAAGAGGTGTCTTTCCAGTTTTTGAATAAGAAAATGAGGTTATTTATATTTATTTATTAATTTTACTAATGATGAAATACTTAAGTTAGGAATAAATATTTAAACGGTTGGGATTTAAACTACATGTTAAATCCATAAACTCTATAGATCTTGGAATTGGAAACTATGAATCACATAAATAAAAATGACAAAACACAAAGATATATGAGATTTGTCAACGTGTTTACGTCCTCAAGAACCATACTAATTCACAGTATTGATTATAGAATTACACACACTCTTCTTGCTTCTCCACTCACTGAAAAACAACAACAGCCTCTATTTTTTCTCTAGCCCTAAAAATGCGTACAATGCTATATTATTTAGGATAAAGGTTGTAGGTCCGAAACTAACAATATAGGCCCACCCCTGCCCCTTCGGGTTGGGCTCTCTGTTGAAATTGCCCTGCACCCAACATTAACTCCACCAGTTATTTTAATGAAAAAAGATTGGGAGCTCTAAATTAAGCAGTCCCAATTGAGACCTCTAATTTAGCAGCTCTAAAACCAGCTCTAAACAGGTGTCAAGCTCAAAAAATAAAAAATAAAAAAATCAAGGCATAGAAACACTGTGGCAGTACATCATTAGTGGTAGTTCTAATTAGAGCTCCCAAGCATTTTTGCTAAATTAAGAGTTCTAATAGCTCTAATTAGTGTGTGGGTCCTATGTAATGTGATATTTTGGCCTTGATTTCTTTTTTTCTTTTTTGATTCTTCACATTATTAGTGCTCTTTTAGAGCTCCCAAATTAAAGGGATATATCATTTCTGTATTTTAAGTGGTGTCATTTGTTAATAAAAACACATACATTGAATTAAGTAAAAAAAAAAAAAATGTCACCAAATTCCATTTATATATTTTTATTAATTGCCGACATCATCTATAAAAAATAAGTCGAGCATCGAAAAAAAAAAATAATAATAATAATAATTTGAACCCAAGAGCAAAGGAAAAAAATGTTCAACCTAAGAGCAAATCATCATAATAATAATAATAATAATTGGAATATGTTTGTCAAAACAAGAAGAAGGAAAAAAATTAACTACTTCAAGAAAAACAATACAACCTGTCAAACCAACAATAAAAAAGATGTCAACCTAAGCCTAAAACTACAAACATGTCCGTCCAAACAATATCATAAAAATAAATAAAAAATTCCAAGACTCAACAAAATTCTAGGAATCTCCTTGGAAATATCCAGTATGTCTCAACAACAAACCTAGAACCATTGCCTAAGAATGATTGTCAAAATAAAATAAAACAGCTACATTTCAATTTTGTCGGAGTGGTTGAATGATTAATTTTTTTTGTTTAGAAAGTATCATTATCTAACAATGACTCGCCCGTGGGGATTATGCTCTCCTCCATCAAGCGACTTCCCTTGAAAAAATAAAAATAAGAAGTATAAAGGAATATATCGGAATGATTCTTTTTATTAAAAAATAAATTAAATTACAAAATTAAACATATTACACATTCGAAAAGTTGGCGGATTACATGAAGCTTTTGAGGAAAAATAAGTAGACTATGAGTAACTTGGTCAGCATATGCAATGTTAGTATTATAGATGAAATGATAGTAATCATAATTCATCAATTGTGGTCAATAAGACGTGAAAATATGATAACCATAATTCCCACCACTTCCACATAGAAGTGCTGATGTCAAATAACGTAGTTTTGTCTTAAATATTTCTATTTTAATAACTACCGAAATGGCGTAGTTTTAATTTGCCACAGTTATAGTTGGTGGGATGCACAACAACATCCCCAAACCCCTCAAATGCATATATCATGCTATAATGACTCAAACTTAGATATCACACTTTAGTAAGAAATTATTCTTAATCCTTTGTCCTCCAGTTTTTAATTGAATTTCACTTTGGTTTCTTACATTTTAGTTACAACAATTAAGTTCTTAAATTTAAATTTGTGTTTCAATGTGGTCTTTCCACTATTCACTATTTAAAATTTGTGTAAAAATTGTGATGAAAAGATGAATCTCTTATTTTCATACATCGAATGTACAAGCTATCCTTATATATATATAGAACTACAGCTATACCTATACAAGAGATATGTATCTAAATCACATGTGCTAATTACTTGTAACTGTTTTAAAAACTAACAGACTATCTAACTGTTATATGTTTAAACTGATGCAGTCACATAGACTGAGCTACAGCTCAGCTTCATCACTGAACTAGAACAGGAGCTGAGCTGTGAGCTATGCTTGGGCTTTGATGGCTTTGATGAAATATCCTCAACATTCCCCTTCAAGTTAATGGGGTGAGTGAACTCCATAAGCTCGTCTTTGAGATACAAAAATCTGGAGACAGAGAGAGGTTTAGTGAAGATGTCAGCCAACTGGTCAATAGTTAGAATATACTTAAGAACCATCATTTTATCAAGAACTTGATCTCGAACATAGTGGCAGTCCACTTCAATGTGCTTAGACGTGGAATGAAATACTAGATTGGATGCCAAAGCAATAGCAAAGACATTGTCACACCAGAGAGTAGGAGGCATAGGAGAGGAAATAGATAAGTTAGTAAGGAGCATGCCAATCCAAGCCAATTCTGCAACAGTATGAGCAAGAGATCTGTACTCTGCTTCCGTGGAAGAGCAAGAGACTGTGGCTTGCTTTTTAGCTGACCAAGACACAAGGTTAGAGCCCAAAAATATACAATAACCTGAGGTAGATTTTTTGTCTAAAACATCTCCAGCCCAGTTAGAATCAGAGTAGGCATGAACATCAAAAGAACTTGGAGAATAGGTCAGACCATGCCCAATGGTACCCTTAACAAAGCATAGCAGTCTTTTAACTTCAACAAAATGTCCAACTGTGGAAGAATGCATATGTTAGCAAGAGTGATTGACTGCCAAAGAAATATCTGGGCGAGTTATGGTGAGATATTGGAGAGCACCAACGAGGCTGCGATAGAGAGCAGGATCAGAACACAGTGCTGATGAATCAGGGGCAAAGGAAGGTTTAACTGATATAGAAGATGGACAAGGTTTGCAATCAGCTAAACCTACCTTAGGAAGAATATCCTGAGCATATTTCTGTTGTGACAAAACATAGCCAGTGGAAGTTGGTGTGATGGAAATATCCAAAAAATATGACAAATCACCAAGCTTTTTCATAGAAAAGGCAATGTACATATGAGAGATAAGTGATTGGATGCGAAAAACATCATTTCCTACGACTAAAATGTCATTCACATAGACCAAAAGAGCAGTAAAAGTAGTGCTGGATTTTTGGATGAACAAAGAAGAGTCACATTTGTTGTTATGGAAACCTTGAAAGAAAAGATAGGCTGAAAATGTGGAATACCAAGCCCTAGGTGCCTGTTTCAAGCCATATAAGGCTTTCTTGAGATGACAAACATGATTAGGTTGATCTGGATGAACAAATCCTGGTGGTTGAAGCATAAACACTTCCTCTTCAAGAACTCCATGAAGGAAGGCATTGGATATACCCAATTGCTTTCAAGTGCCACTGATGATGGAGAGCTAGACAAAGTAAAATTCTGATTGTTGGAAGCTTGGCTACAAGACTAAAAGTCTCTTGAAAGTCCACACCTTCTTGCTGAAGATACCATTTGGCCACTAGTCTAGCTTTGTGTCTAGCTATGGTACCATCAGAATTCCGTTTAACCTTGAAAACCCACTTACAACCTATAGCATTTTTTCCTGGGGGAAGACAAACTAGAGACCAAGTGTGTTGCTTTTGCAAAGCATCAAATTCTTCTTGCATAGCCTTATGCCAAATAGGAGAAAGAAGAGCTTCCTTATGGAATGGAGGTTCAGAATCTGAGTACAAAACAGAAGAAGGCTTGGTGTGAAGTAAACATTGAGAGGAGAGTTTAGACCTAGTGATCATGGGATGAACATTTGTAGTTGTAGGTGTAAGTAATGGTAAGTGGACTGAGATAGAGTTAATAGGAATAGAGGAAGAAAAAGGACCACAATGGGGCTGAACAACAGTCTGTTACTGAGGAAAAGAAGCAGCAATAATGGGAGAAACAGAAGGAGAAGGAATAGTTGTGGGAGAAGAAAAAGAAGAATGAGAATACTGAGGAGAATTAGACTGGCCAGGTAAATAAGAAACAGATAGAGAAGAAGATGGAGTAGGTATAGCAGACCAAAAGAAAGATTGAATTTGAGGTAAAGAAAGAGAAGAAGAGGTAGAGGACACTTGGTTAAAAGGTGTTAGGACCCTACTTGTTGTCAAATTCCATGGACAAACCTTTGTTTAAATCGAGTTGTAATTTTCTAGTTTTTAGCCTTCCCGCTCGAGCGGAGTTTACACTCTCACAGTATTTTGCTTGTCTGCAAAAATACTGAGTGATGTGTTTTTACGCTCGAGTGTGGGATCTTTCGCTCGAGTGTGAACCCTGGTTTAGAACATGTGATATAGAGTCCCTGCTCGAGCATCCATTCCCATGGTCAAGTGGACCTCGCGATCTCAGCCTTTATAAAACCTTGTGTTGCTCCAACTCTAGGGTTACTTTTCCTAGATTTTCTTTAAGGGTCTTAGGGTTTTCTTTTGGGGTTATTTTTCTGGTTTTCCTTGATGTTTTGATTGAGTTTGAACTCATGTTCTTATAAGCACACATCAAGGAGATTGTTTGATATTTCTTTGAGAGTATTCTTCTTCGGTGGAATCCGAAGATTCAAGCACAGAGTAATCAAAGGAGTTTGATGCTGTGTGTAGTCATTTATTCGACAATTAATGTTGTGGATTCAACATCAAGCTAATCAATTTTGTATGAAGGTTATGGTGAAAGACATACAGAAGATTTGAAGACAAATTGGAAGCGGTTCTGCTTATTTGTTTGGTATCTTTGTAATCTTTCTTTCTTCAGTAATGGATTGATTTGTGGTGTTTCGCCTGTGATTTTTTTTATCACAGTTGAATGGACTTCAATTGTGGTTTTTTCACGTAAAAAATCGTTTGTGTTGATTCATTGTTTTTAAAACAACAATCTAAATCACTTTTGTATGTGCTTGATGATTTAGATTGTGAGTTTTAATTGGTTGAGAATTGAAACAATTAAATCTTGATCTAATCATGAATCATTTAGGTTTTTCAAAAAGGAATGTAGATTTATTGAAAAGGACATGTCTAGAAAGATAAATCCTGCCAGAAATGGGTGAGTAGAAGGAAGAGTAGTCTGGTGGGTGATGAAATAAGACTTCAAAAGGAGATTGATGCTGTAGCTGAGTAGAAGGAAGTCTATTAGTCAAGTAAGTAGCAGCAACAACTGCTTCAAACCAAAATTCAAGAGGCATGGAGGTATGATGAATCAGTGCAACTGCTGTCTCTGTGATATGCCTGTGTTTTCTTTCAGCAGTGCCATTTTGTGGTGGAGTGTGTGGGCAAGAATGTTGGTGAATAATACCATTAGCAACAATAAACTCCTTCATTTTATTATTACAAAACTCAGTTCCTCCATCAGTATGAAGTATCTTTAAAACAGTATCAAATTGTTTCTCAGCATAAGCTTTGAATTCCAAGAATTTGTCATAGACCACACTTTTGTAGACTAGAGGATACAACCAAGTAAACTTACTAAAGTCATCCACAAAAATCACATAGTATTTGTAAGTAGAAGAAAAATGGAAAGAGCCCCAAACATCACTATGAATAAGAGAAAGTGGCTTATTTACACTTGAATTTGACAAATGAAAAGGAAGTCGATGACTTTTAGCAACACAACAATCTACACAATCTTGAGTAGCAAGAGGTACAAATTTAAGATGAAAATGATGTTTGAGATGATGAAATTTTACAAGGGAAGGATGGCCTAGTCTATTATGCCAAATAGTAGGTGTAACGGAAGTAGATCTATCAGTACTAGTAACAAAAGCTTGAGAACAAAACGGAGAAACGGTAGATAAGGAAACAGGTGGCGGAAAATGATAGAGTCCATTGATGTTACATCCCTTGAGAAGAACTTTCTTTGTAAGTTTGTCCTGAATCACAAAGTTAGATTCATCAAATGTTATGATGCAATGATTATCCTGAGCTAACTTTTGAATAGAGACAAGATTGGAAGAAATAGATGATGAATGAAGAATATTGTTAAGTTGAAATGAATGATGTGGAGTGGGTAAAAGTTCTTTACCAGTGTGATTGATAGGGGCAGAAGTGCCATTTTCAATAATGACCTGGTCGGTACCTTGATATGGTTGATAATAGGTAAGATTATTAAGGTCATTGGTGATGTGATAAGTAGTAGCAGAGTCTAGGTACCATGGGACTGATGATGATGATGAGACATCTTCAGATGAAGAAGCAACCAAGGCCCTAGGAGCTGATGATGAAGAACCATTGGCATTGGCATTATGAGGCAAGGACTGATATTGAGAGTCCATTCAGTGCCAACAATCAAGAGCTAAATGACAAAAACCTCCACAAATTTGACAAGCTTGAGAGTTGTGAGAATTCTGTGAATATCTTCCTCTTCCTCGAGTGTAATGACTAGACCACTTCATAACATAAGTCAATTTATTCTTTAGCTGATGAATGTGTAATCTTGAAAGAGAAGTGAATTTCTTGTGAAGAGACTTCGGCACAATGATGAAATTGAAGAATGGTAGAATAGATCGGAGGAGATAGAGTAGCATTGAGACAACTCAATAGGTGAGCATCAATTAGATTCCATTGAATGTAATCTGAATTGGTTACTTCAAGACCATCTCCATTAACGATCAAAAAAGAAGGACATAGTGCGGAACCATTGACATATCCAAGAAGATTAGTAGCTCTAAGGATATTAGAGACTTGACTACTCCAAGTAATGAAATTGGTAGAATCAAGTTTAACTGTCACAAAAGAAGACAGATTGGAGATCAAAAGTGAAAGATTAGATGGAATATTTGAAGACAGAGATGATGCAGAAGTTGCCATGGAAGAATGCTCGTTAGAGCTTCAAAGCTCTGATACCATGATGAAAAGATGAATCTCTTATTTTCATACATTGAATGTACAAGCTATCCTTACATATATAGAGCTACAACTATACCTATACAAGAGATATGTATCTAAATCACATGTGCTAATTACTTGTAATTGTTTAACAAACTATCTAACTGTTATCTGTTTAAACTGATGCAGTCACATAGACTGAGCTGCAGCTTGGCTTCATCACTGAACTAGAACCGGAGCTGAGCTATGAGCTATGCTTGGGCTTTGATGGCTTTGATGAAATATCCTTAACAAATTGCAATATAAAAAATTGAAGTAGAATTTAAGTGAAAGTTGGACAATGCAAAGTACAAATTTTCATGAATTTGTTTTTCCTCTAATGCCCCCATATGTGCTTACATGAGCACTTTTCGTCCAATTTTTAACTGTGAGTGACAAGTTGACTGCGCTGCATTGATATATGGGGTTAAAATATGTTGATTTAATTGTCTAATTAGTGTCAACCATTAGTGTAATAATTGTAATATAATGTTAACATATAAGATGAAAAATAAAATACTAATGCTAAAAGACATAGTAAATTACCAAAAAAAAATGAGTAGTTAAAATTTATTTTCAATGTGAACCCCACTAGAAATGGGTTCAATTACAACCATTAATTGTATTTTATGTGGACTATTATGTGTTCTTAATATTATTATATAACAAAAGGAGAATTTTATTATACACGCCCCTTATCATATGCATTCTCACTTACGTTATTTTTTTTTTGTTATCTGTTTAAACTGATGCAGTCACATAGACTGAGCTGCAGCTTGGCTTCATCACTGAACTAGAACCGGAGCTGAGCTATGAGCTATGCTTGGGCTTTGATGGCTTTGATGAAATATCCTTAACAAATTGCAATATAAAAAATTGAAGTAGAATTTAAGTGAAAGTTGGACAATGCAAAGTACAAATTTTCATGAATTTGTTTTTCCTCTAATGCCCCCATATGTGCTTACGTGAGCACTTTTCGTCCAATTTTTAACTGTGAGTGACAAGTTGACTGCGCTGCATTGATATATGGGGTTAAAATATGTTGATTTAATTGTGTAATTAGTGTCAACCATCAGTGTAATAAATTGTAATATAATGTTAACATATAAGATGAAAAATAAAATACTAATGCTAAAAGACATAGTAAATTACCAAAAAAAAAAATGAGTAGTTAAAATTTATTTTCAATGTGAACCCCACTAGAAATGGGTTTGATTACAACCATTAATTGTATTTTATGTGGACTATTATGTGTTCTTAATATTATTATAAAACAAAAGGAGAATTTTATTATACACACCCCTTATCATATGCATTCTCACTTACGTTATTTTTTTTTAGTTATGATCAATTTTCTTCTTTAGTTATGACATTGTTTTGAAATATTTGGTTATGCCTCATTTTTGTTTAGTTGTAACCCACTTTTTTTTAGTTATGACTTAGAAAGCATATAATTATGCCATTTTATTCTGTAATTATAAAGTGCATATGGTATACACCCTTTGAGGAGTGTGTAGCATAGTCTTTCCCAGAACAAAATGTAATAAGAAAATGCAGTTATTCTAGCCTTATTAATTAGCTTAATTAACCAAATTCAAATGGGCATAAGAACTGCATTGAAATTGGCTACCATTAATGTTGAATTTTGCAAAAACTTTTCATGGATCATCTTCATCTCTCTGATCAATCTATTATTCAACCAGTCTTTCCTATCTTTGAGACCTTGATCATCTTCTTCTTCTTCCTCTTGGATGGTGCTTTTGCTTCTTGGTATGTCCCTCGGCGCTGTTTTGTCATTCCTAGACAGACTCCATCAGCGAAAAACCTTGAAAAAAATAGAGAAATGGAAGCTTATATTATGGGTGTTTAGGAAAAGGGTTGGGCTAAAATGTAAGAATTTGTTCTAAATT